CGCGCAGTCATCGACAATTTTAGACGTCGTTTATATGAGTGCCGTGATCGTAATGGATTGCATTTAGACGATGTGATTTTCAAAACATAATTCCCATTCAATAAAGATGATAACAAAATATAATAATTCTTCATAATGTAACTAGTTTGGTTTTATTCCTTTTTTTCCAGCTCAAAGTACTTATGGGCCACCCTGTATTTTATTGTGTCTCCATAACAGCGTCCCTTACATCACCGATATACGCCCAGAAAAAACAATTTCGTCAACTTGACTTTTTGGCAATGAGGTAGTCTTACATCAAGAATGAAAGGATAACATTCTCACGAAATTTTATTGACATGTAATGAGAAAAAAATTATGTGATGGTTGACCTCGCAGCTGGATACACTCCTGTATACGTCTAGGCATCGACAAAATGAGATGATCGATCGTGGCACCTCATTTCAGAGACTGTGGCGGCAAAACGGTCTCGTAGGGCTACTTGTCTGAAGCACCTATCTTGACTCTGTGGTACGCCTCGGTGGACCAGTTGGCCTTCTCCGTGTTCCTCTACCTTCTTCTATCCATACAAGACACACACGTATGACCTTCATTGCAGTACAATTATCACGACTGCCCACTTCGCGATAGGACAAACCAACATCTCGGTAGACAATAATTCTACTCCTGTCAAAATCGCTAACGTGGTGACAATTTGGACGAATTTGAACTCGAGGGATTCTCTTATGATTAACACTAGTAAATTAAAGGGCAATAACTAAAAATATCTGTACTACTCATCATTCAGAAACTGCTCTCTTCACAAAAACCAGGAGATAACATTTTAACAAAGTTAAAACGTTGACATTGTTGCCTCTGCATGCTTCAAATCTCAATCTTTTTTGCGGAATTCTCCGCGAACACAACACTTCCTCGCCAGTTCGACGCGGTAAGTAAAAACGGTTAAGAAATTCTGATTGCTTTTTATTATCCACGTCCCTTGATCATTGTCAAATTTATAATGTTCCATATGAGCACTTCCGTTCCTTTGTGCCTAGAAGCTCGCAAAGATTTTCAAATATTCCTCTACAAATATTTGCTCAAAGTGCCTTGAGTAGGAAAAGCCGCTAAAAGCCGTTTTTCTTTGTTCTTCTACTGTTCGAGAGCTGCTGTTTGAGTTTGTACAAAGTATTGGTTCAATAGCTATTCATTGTGTTCCCTTTGGAGATCAAAGTCTTCATGCAAAAGGCGCTATGCTACTTTCACGCTGAAACTTATAGTCTAGTTAATCAAACCTTTAATTGAGATACTATGATTGGGCGTTTACTTGGCCGCCAAAGTCAAATATCACTAATATTTTGAATATAACAGTCTAACAGGTGATTTATGTTTGACGTTGTTTGATTCAGCTTGACTGGTCTCCTGCTCCATTGCCTGGAAACAGAATGTCGAACGAGTTCGCCTATCTACTACCAGGATATCTAGAATTTGAGCGAAGGAAATTGTAATAAGCTGTTTTACAATTGAATTATACAGGGTGTTTCAGTTTATTGTTGCATAACTTTAAGATTCGATAGAACTTTTAAAATTAATGCATGCAAGTCTATATAAATATGGGTCGAAAAATGCGTAGCTTCCGAAATACAGGGTGTTTAAATTTACTTTTTAAAATAGTTTTTTTTAAATATTTCGAACAATATTTGATATATAATAGTGAAAATTGATATACAACGGTTTTTTGGTACGGCAAAACGAACCATGGGCATAGTTTTACTGTAGCCGCTAGAGGGCGCTCTCTACTGTACCTGTAGTGTATTAAAATGACCGAAAAATTTTTCTTAGTGCAATTTTTTGCTTTCTGAATAGAAAAACTGATTCTTCACACTTTTCTGCATAAAAAAGCTTTCCTGTGAGTTTTCGTTATAGTTAGCCGTTTTTGAGATATTTCGATTTTTAAGGTTAGATGCATTTTTATCTATTTATTGGAAAATAATATTTTTTCTTACATTTTCGATTTGGAGATTACAAGTAATTAAGATGATCGTTTAGATTGTGTTTTTAAACACAGCAATAATTCCTAACTCCAAATAAACACAAAAAAAATAGAATATTAATTTGTTTAATTTTCCAATATTATTTTTAACAAATTAAATTAATTATTTACAACTAAAATGCTATTGGATAGTTAGGACAAACATACAAAATCTAAAGTATTTGCTCGAAATGTAAACCCAATTGTTCAATACCTACACAATTCACATCTACGAATCATCGAACGTGGCATAGCATTATTCAAATAAGGCCTTATTTCAACACATGCATTCTTGATTCTGTCTATCGGCATACCTCTTGTGGTTACAGGAGTCTGGTACACTTTTTCTTTTAGAAATCCCCACACAAAGAAATCTAATGGATTTAGGTCAGGGGATCGTGGAGGCCAGGCGACTGGTCCTCCACGGCCGATCCATCTTTCTGGATAATTTTCGTCCAGCCAGTTTCAAACTATTCTCGAATAATGAGCTGGACAACCATCAAGCTGGAACCAGGCCAATCTTCTTAAATCTAATATAACATCATCCCACATATTTGCATGTTCAGCCTTTAAAAATTCCAAGAAGGTCGCATCATTTAACCTTGAAGGCAAAAGGTAGGGTCCAAATAGTCGATTACGGTAGATACCAATCCACACGTTCACACTAAATTCAAGCTGAAAATTTCTTTCCCAAACTGCATGCGGATTTTCATGCGACCAAATATGTTGATTATGAAAATTTACCAATCCACGTCTAGTGAAGCATGACCCATCGGTCCATAAAACGTTACTTAAAAACTCCCTATTATTATCAGTTCTATCAAGAATCCACTGACAAAATGTGATTCTTCGTTCTCCGTCCCTTGGCTGCAAATGGTAAGGACGTCTATGGTCATTTTTAAGAACACGGTGAACATGGCTTGCTGAAATTCCCAAGGCACCAGAAACTCTCCTAACAGTTGTGGTCGGATCTCTATCAAACTCACGCAGAATCATACGGGGCGCTGACGAACATTTATGTTTCGATCCCTTTGGAGATTTCCAAAACCATTTTCAATTATTTGGCGATGCACTCTTACAAATACTGAGCGAGTTGGATGTCGTCTGTTTGTAAATCTTCGTGCGTATTCTCTGGCTGCTTCTGCTGCGTTTCCATTTACAAAGCCATACACAAAATGAATATCCGCTAACTCTTGATTGGAGAGTAAAAATGGCATTTTTATAAAACTTATAAAAAAAACAGGTAAAAGAAACTAAATTTCGTGCATTCACAGTTGCAAAAAAACGTTTCAGGTTTCAACAGACAACAAAACTAACTGTCAACTAATTGACGTTTAACCTTATTCTGCTTTCAATTTCAAAAATATTTGCAGGCACAGCTTACTTCTAAAAATTATCGAGATACTGACTTTTTAACGTTATTTTATCATAGATAATTAAAAATGTATCGAACCTTAAAAATCGAAATATCTCAAAAACGGCTAACTATAACGAAAATTCACAAGAGAGCTTTTTTATGTTGAAAAGTGCGAAGAATCAGTTTTTTTATACAAAAAGAAAAAATTGCACTAAGAAAAAAATGTCGGTCATTTTAATACACTACAGGTACAGTAGAGAGCGCCCTCTAGCGGCTACAGTAAAACTATGCCCATGGTTCGTTTTGTCGTACCCAAAAACCTTTGTATACCAATTTTCACTATTATACGTATACATCAAATATTGTTCATAATATTTAAAAAAAAAATATTTTAGAAAGTAAATTTAAACACCCTGTATTTCGGAAGCCACGCATTTTTCGACCCATGTTTATATAGACTTTATGCATTAATTTTAAAAGTTCTATCGAATCTTAAAGTTATGCCACAATAAACTGAAACACCCTGTATTTTTGAGGATATACGAAAAGGCACTGAAATACAAAGAAGTTTTGATATTGAAAGTTGGAAAAAACACTTTTTTGCTTATAGTCAAATAGTTATGAATTATTGCTGTAAGTGGTCCGAAAAAAGTTGTTAAGGATGAAGATGCCTTCAAAACAAAGCCTTACACGGCCACAGTGGCGGCTCGTGGCAAAATAAAGCAGGTGTTCTGCAAATCCGAACTTAACTATTTTTTATATGTCAGTTCGATCCTGCACTCCTTCTTGGCAGCAAATTTGTCGATCACCTTCCCGTTGAAATTTTCCATGGTCGCAATAAATTCCTAAAGTCTTGATTCTTTTCAATGTTGAGAAATTTCGCTCAGCCTCTGATGTTGGCATAGGAGTTGTAACAAGAATTTCTAATAGCTTTTTTGTTTCTTTTAGTGTTTCTTCCAAACTATTTTGTATCAAAAATTATAAAAGAGACAGAGTTCCATGTAAACCTCGGCAATCATTCCGTGCATAAATAACAGACAACTCTGTCTTCGAGCGACTTTTTTCTAATTCGGGATAAGCCAAGCAGGTAGTTTTCAACTTGTCATCAGGAAACTTACCACAGTATTCTCCAAAGTGTCAATTGCAGAATTCACTATATTGTCGCATACTTCCAATGCGGCAATTCGGTGATCGTTATTATTACGTCGTCTCCTTTTGTTGCCTTGGGGTTCAGTGCAAATACTTTTGACTTCATTTATTATGTCATCAATTTTATTTCTTACATCGACAATACATTTTTCAAAATTATCGGTAGCCGTTTTAAATTGCGCTGGCTCGGTTTTTCTCTTCTGCAACTGGTTGAACAAGATGTCGACGTGAGGTATGACACGATGAAAAAATGTCAACCAAAACACGAAAACAGAATCGTTTAACATACGGCGAATACCTCAAGCTGCCTTGCAAACGATTTCATTAGTGAAATTTTCTTCTATTTCTTCCATGCATTCAATGAGTGATTCTCTGTTCTCAAACACTACATTTATTGTTCGAATATTAAAATTCCCACGAGTTGTTGCTCCTTTTGGGGATTTTTTCCCCACAATTGTGTTCAGTACCTCTACGCGTTGAGGAGAATTATTAAGAAAATCCCGGAATATCTTTCAAATCCCCAAAGAACACCCGAACTTGAGCATTTGCGGAAGCACCTTGGGACATAATCAGGTTTAACTGATGCGCATAGCAATGTACATAGTGAGTAAATGGATATCTTTGTTTAATTTTTACCTGTACTCCAGCATTATGTCCGCTCATTACCGCGACTCCATCATAGCTTTGTGAAATCAGTTTGATAGGGAAATTTCCTATTAATGGATCTACGGCGCTCAAAATATGTCTTGTGAGAGTATCAGCGTCACATTTTTCGGAATTCATATCACTCCAAAAACGTTCTACTGGTTCGCCGTTAAATACGTATCTGAAAATTGTTACCAGTTGGATTTCCCGAAATGTCCGTTATTTCATCTGCTATTATCGCCAAATACGAGGCTCTATTAATCTGCTTTATTATTTCTTCATGACAAACTTCAAGAATACAATAGAGTAGATCGTTTTGTATTTCTTTCGAAGTTCCTTTAAATATTGAAGCATTTTTTATGTGTTCGCTTAAGGTTATATTAAGCTCAGCAGAAAAATCAATCAGTCCACGAAATATTTCCGGGTTTTGGGAGCTCTCGGTTTCGTCATGGCCCCGAAGCGTCAATTTAAATGCTCCGCAAAATTTTATACCGAGCACCGACCGACCAATCAGATATCGTACTTCGCATTATATCTGTACGGTTATGCTTAAATGGCGCATTTGATTTTGTAGAGAGAGACAAAAGCAAGCGTGTGCGGCTTGTGTCGAAGTAGTGCACAGTCTCTTTTCAAGTGGCTCATGAATAATGTTACGCTGCGGTCGCGACGAAAATGACAAGTACACAATTGGTCGATTATAATGCTTTCACAATACAAAACAGACTGGACGCTGTGTCTTGCGGGGGCAGCGTTGCCGGTATTGTTTCTGTTTGTGTGATAATATGGAAAATAAATAATGATCAAATTACTACTGCTTTTTTCTGTTAAGACAAAAGTTTTGGCAGTTCTGCAGCTCTGCAGAACTTAAGGGCCAGCCGCCCCTGCACGGCCAACTTGCTGCAACAGTGAATTTGTTATTACCAAAAATCGTTAGAGATCTATTTTTTACCGGAACTAACAGTAAATCTGAAATGATAGCCAAAAGTTGAAGCTCTTGTGGTGCTTAGCTTCTAGAAAAAAATCCAGTAAAAAATGTACTACCAATTTTCTAATTGTTTCTATTTTTTTCAGAAAGTGGTTCTTTGTGTTCAAAGACTATGGATCAATCAAATATCCTTACATCGTTTATTCTCTTGCGACTATGTACACCTTACAAAGGTAAGGCATTCAACAGCTAATTCACATGGCGTCTTTGTTTTCCGGAGTTGTAGGTTATGTTTGAATTTCTCATGCAAAATCTATTTTTCTGGGTTTTCTATTCAAGATCCATATTGTAATATGAGTATTCATGATATCTGAAAACATCGCTCATAATATACTAAGTGACATATAAATCCGAACACCCAGTTTAAATGGTTTTATTTTAATAAAATTTTGTATAAGTACTTAATGAAGCATAATAAGTAAATGATAAAAATTTCAAAATGATGGCACTGCTTTAAAGCCCTACTGTTCCATTCCTGATCCCAGAGTGACCGTTGTCTGCACCACTCAAGGCGATTACGTCGGTGTTCTCGAGTTAAAGGGAGGACCCAGTGTGGCCGGTATGAAAACAAGCCAAAACTTCTCATTCGTCGGTGAACACTTCGCATGCCAATAGGTCTTCCGTGTTCTGCAAACCATTCATTTGCAATGGATCTGGTAGTGGAGAAACGGTCCCTTAAGGCCAATAATCTTAGGCGGCGATCTTCACGGTCTGTTGTTCTACGGCGGCGTCCAGTGCCCCTTGCTCTTTGCGTACGGCCTTCTCGAAGCCATGCCTGACAACACCTAACCACAGTGTCTACACTTCTTTGCACTCTAACTGCAATTGCCCGAAAAGAAAGTCCAGCTTCCCGAAGTCCCACTATACGGCCCCTATCAAACTCACTAAGTTGACGAAATCGTACAGGTCTCCGTACTCTAGGCATCGTAACCGATCGTAAAGGATGTCAAGAACCAAAATCCGCCAACGTTGATTCTTTACTGCGGCTGAAATATTCATTTTTAGAGCGTTAGCGAATTAAAAAAAGCAGTATAAAAACCGGAATGTCCAACTGATAAGGCTGAAAATTTTTTCACTTGTTATTTACAGTAAGATAAATACATTCACCAACTTTTATTAAAATAAAGGCATTTAAACTGGGTGTTCGGATTTATATGTCACTTAGTATAATTATGGTGCCTTCAGAATAATTCTAATTTATCTACAAAAAATAAAAGGAATGGAATTTTGTGTGGCGTGTTTTTCAAGGTATTCGACACAAGTTCAAAACACCGCTCGACGTTTGTTGTTGGTTCTATAGGTCGAAAAAGTTCCTTTTTTCCTCAGTGTGCATTTTTCATCAACTTGTCAATGCTGGATATCCTGATTACCTGTGTCTCGTTCTCATTGGTTATGAGACAAAATTGGATGTACCCTCACCTTCAATGTAAGGCAATTATATATTTCAGAATTACCGTTACCCATCTTCCTTTAAAAATTGAAGGGTCGGCCGGAACAGCGTTGTATATAACATTTTTCTATAAAATGAGATTTCCATAAAACAACGTAGTATGTACCTGTTGGGACCCGTTGACAACATAGACCCACCAGTTTACTCGCATCAATCACTGTGACGCGAATTTTTAAAGCGCTCCATTTCAGTCTTCCGCGTAACAACGTTGTATGTACGTAAGCAAAAAAGAATATCTATGGTTTATGAACCATTCCAGTGGGTCAATGTCATTGCTAAATCCAAAGTTAAAAATCCTTTTAAAGTTGTCTGGATGCACTAAGCCTTCTTTGAGAATTTAACAGCTTTGAAATGTTGTATATGGAAATACCCCAAACGTAAAATTACACAAGGATTGTGGCTGCAACTTACCGCTGATTCTCCCGCTACTTTGAGAATGAGAAAATCTCAAAATATTATGCAGCCCTGGAATTCATTTCCCATAAGCAATCGTAAAATAATAATAATAATAATAGTAATATTTATTCGCCAAAATACAAAAAATGGGCAAATAAATATGAAAAAACCACAGAAGGCATCGCCTGTGTGTGGTTTATATCTTAATAACTAACAATCAATCATATATGTGTATAACAATTATTGTTAAATCTAAAAGGTATTAATGTAATTGGAATTTTGTAGTTTTAGTTTTCTATATAATTATGTATAGTCATTCGCTGCACATTACTAACCCAGTCTTTCAATTTTCTTCTAAATTTTTTTCCAAAATTAAGTATCTTTATTTCGTTTGGTACTACATTATATAATTTAGCTGCTAAGAATTTAAATGATTTTTTGAATAATGTTTTGTGTAGTCTTTGGATATTAGATGAGCCTATTCGAAATCGTGTGTTATGCTCGTGTTTATAGGATTTTTTCTTTTTATTACAATACTTATGGTATAAGGTGGTGGCATGTAAGAAATAAAGTTGTCTTGTATCAAGTATCCCTGTTTCTTGATATAAGTTGTTCGTTGGATATAATCTTGGCTTACGGAAAATGGCTTTCAAAACAGTTTTTTGTGCTATATTCGGGTCAGAAATATATGTCTTGCAGGCGGCACCGCAGGCTGTGATGCCGTATATTATATGGGTTTCAACTAAGGCATGGTATAGGATTCGCAGATAACTTTCTGTAAGAATGTTAGCAAGCATTTTCAGTTTATAGGCAACATTTCTAATTTTTTTGATAACATATTTAATATGGTTATCCCACCTTAGATGTGAGTCTATATATATTCCAAGATATTTCAAAGTGTTAACTCTATCGATTTTGGTCTTTTGGCCATGATAATTAACGAAAAATTTGTTCGAAGGTAGGTAAAAATTTTGAATAGGATGTAAATGCAATAAATTTTGTTTTTTTGAAGTTAACTGTTAAAATTTTAGTATCAAACCAGTCAATGATCCTTATAAAATCCTTTTCAGCTATTTGCTTCAGTGTGCTCCAGTCATCAGCTTTATATAATACGAGGGTGTCATCTGCAAAACATATAATCTTTCCAGAACTGTTAATTTTGAATAAGTCATTTAAGTAGAGACTAAATAATAGTGGGCCTAGTACTGTTCCTTGAGGCACACCACACGATGTACATTTTTTACTGTAAGTGTTAGTGATTTTGACAGTCTGTGCCCGACTTAAAAGGTAATTTTTTAAAAGGATTTGTGACGCTCCCCTAAATCCCAATATTTCCATAACTTTCAGAAGCTCGACATGGTTAACCGTATCAAAGGCATTTTTTAGATCAACAAAGATACTAATAGTAGGTATCTTTTTGTTGACATTAGAGTTAATTTCATCCATTGCAGCCAAAATTGCATCTGTAGTAGATTTTCCTTTTCTAAATCCATATTGGTCAGAACATATAATTTTGTTTTTGTCCAAAAATTGTAATATCCTTTTTTGTAGTAATTTTTCGAAAATTTTGGCTATATTCGATAGTACTGATATGGGTCTATAATTTGATGTTAACATTCTGTCACCGCTTTTATAAACAGGAGTAATAACAGTTGTTTTAAATGCATCAGGACAAATTCCAGATTGGAAACACCAATTAATGACGTAAGAAAGTGGTTCGGCTAAGTCGTAGGCTATTATTTTTAAATGGTCAGCTTTGATACCATCTACACCAGGAAAGAAAGAAACAATGACTTTTGCCACTGAAATCATATCATCTGAAAAATAACCTATAATTTATCAGAACCTTCTTCCAATCAAAGAAGAAAAATTAAAAAACCTTGAAGATATGAGTGATTATATTCCGCTTAAGCTTGTAACATTTTATGAGAAATTAACTGCAACCCAGTAATATCTATTTAAGTTTCAGTTTTGGTTTCGAAACACGTTGATGAACTTAGAACGTGTTTTTTTGTTATTAAAAATATGTTACTGTGTACTTTGGTTCCCTTAATAAATAGAACTGCTGAAAATACTTGTTTTGCTTGTAGTCATTTAAAGCCTCCATGTAACAACGTTGTAAGTAACGCGATCATACAACCTTGTTACATGCGTTTTCCATAAAAATGGTTCCCATAGCTGCAAAATAGGTATCACATTTTTAAATTACAATAACCTTGTATAACTATTGTTCCTTTATTGTGCGTCTATTTGTAAAAATGGTTCAAATTTGTTTTTCTTAATTTCGGCCACTGAGCTTTTTTGATACATACAACGTTGTTCCGGCCGACCCTTCAAT